AAATTACCAACAGTAGTATTTTCATGCTGGTGGTAGTTGACCTGTCTCCTGTTTACAACATAGTCCTTTCAGCAGTTCCAAGAAGGTTCCACACCCATCTGCCCTACTCAAGTAGCACTGAAGGCACAGATAAACCTCCATGTGGCCTCAGCAACTCTCAGAAAGAGTGCTAATGACCAGAGGACTGCAAGGAATATAAATCCTTCCATTTTCCACCATTCAGTGAGAAATGAAGAAGCTTCTTAGATGAGAAGCAAAATGTCTTCAAGGAAAAACAAACATAATGCAAGTTGCCTTTTGCAATAACCTTTGGAACAACCATGACTTGGATGACTGAAAATCTCTGATAGACATTTCTGAGAAGCCCTTGAATGTTTGCCCCACAGCCTTACCATGCTGCCACAACTGCTGAAACCTGCATTAATCTGACGGAAGAGGAAAATGTCTGCATATAGCATTACTGGCTGTTGATCAGCAGTACCTTTAAATTGGTAAGATGCATGCAACTATATTGGTTTGGAAGGTAATCTATAGATTAGTGATTCTAATTTGTACAGAACAATGTGAGCATGGTAACTATGAATTTTGATTATTCTTGTGGCATGCTGGCCAAAATGTGTCTAACCAGCACTATTTTGCCATTAGTAAATAATACTGCACGTGGCACAAGAACAGTGTACCCCTTTGACATTGTATTAAAAGTGTTGGAAGACACTTTCAGTAAGTCAAGCCAGAAGAGATATGAATCCATTTGGAAATGATAAAAAAGATTGCTGCTTGGAATGTAAGAAGGATAAAAAATAATGAGTTAATAAATGGAAGAAAAAAAAATAGATAAATGACTGAGAAATTTTTTAAAAAGTATAATTGTATAATAGCTGAATGAAGGTGACCTGATCATACAAAGTGAAAGCATATACTGTAGGTATTGTGTAAAAGTATAGGCTTAATTACAAATGAAGGGTCTAAATAAAATGTATGTCAGAAAACATGCATTGGTGAAATATAAACTTTTCCTGGTGTGCATGAAAATCAAATCACAGGTTGGATGAATTCTTTAGTAGGATCATATGTGATAATTTTGCAAGTGCTACTTCGTGCTGAGAGACCTTCATACAGAGAATACAAAGAAATTAGTTCTGTTCATATAGTCATGGTCTAAGAAAGCATTCATATTTATTTTGCTCTTTTGGAGATAACAATGAAAGTATTAATTGTTAGAACTTTATGTAGTGCTTTCCATTATGGCCTTACTGAGAACTGAGGAAAGAGAATTCCTCCTTCCAAGGAAACCTTATAAAGCAATTTCCCCACCTTTGGAGCTCTTAGGTCTATGTAAGTATGAAGCATGGCCATGGTGATTTGGGATGATGGAAACTCTAATCCACCACATTTAAAAAGCGTAAAGTTGTGGATGGCTGCTCTCAGTAAGGTTTTATCTTTGGTGGGATATGGTATGAACAGTTCAGTTTTTTGGTTATCTAAAATACATCACTGTGCATTCTTGAAACGTATTTATTTATTAGTTCCATTAATTTATATAGCTGACCACTTCAAACATTACTCTGGGTCACTTACAGCAATTAAAAACTATATAAAAACAAAGAACAATGTAAAATCAAATATACAAACACATATAAAATCCATGCAACAGATCAGTAGCTGAAGTATAAAAAAGCCACTGCCAACAATCAACATATCATCATTGTAGAAGTTCTACTGCATTCTCAAAACTCCAGTGGTAAAACCATGTCTTTCAGACCTTATGACAAGTCAGTAGATTGGGGCAATCTGATCTTTGGGAGAATGAATTTTCAAAGGACAAGCATTATGATAGGCCTCTTCTGGGCCCCAACAGTTGTCATTCCCTAACAGAAAGAACTCAAAGCATGTCTTCTGCCAGACCTAATAAGCAGATTTAATCAGGAAAGTAGTCCCTCTAATAGTCTGGTACCATTACATGAAGGGTTTTATAAATCGTCAGCACCTGAATTAAACCAGAAGCATACTGGAAATCAATAAAGCTCACAGACCAGAGATATAATGTCCACTGACTGAAGAGTGCAACAACTATCCACATAGCTGCATTTTGCACCAGCTGTTCTTCAAGGGCAGCTCCATCTAAAGCACATTGCAAAAGTCCATTCAACACCCTCCTGCTCTTACATACCGGTAATAGGAAGGGAAGACACTGGGCAGATTGGAGAGAGCTGGATAGGTCAGCAGAATATGCTACACTGGCAGCTGCAGAGACTGCACTAGCCATGCCCTATTTGCCTCATTCAGAATTTGTTTTGTCTGAAACCCAGAATGTAAATATATGATCTGGGGAACGGGATTAGTAGAAACTAGATTTTAGCTATATGCCTTTTCTTTGAACTCTGGCTTTTAATTTCTTTGCCTTACTTTTCTCATTCCTTTCTAGGCTTTTCATAATGTAGTTTACCCCAAAAGGGAACTGTATGATTAAAATATATGATAAATGATTAAATACATCTGGAGTATATTTATTTCAGCTATATTTAATCAATTAATTATAAGTAATATATAATTCAATTTTTTTCTTAGTCTAAGCCATTCCATTTTGGAGAGCATTCCTTGACCAGATAAAATTGTGTAAACTTGTCACAAAAGTTCTTTATAAAGTTTTTTTCCTATCTTTTCATATCTCTCCTCCAAGTATTATCCAGATTCTCAAGTCTGGTTTTGTAGTTATGGCAATTCCAGATATAATCTTAAAACAAAATTCAGCAAGATACTAACATTGCTTCTTAGATCTCAGAGATTTAAGATTTTGTTGCTGATGCAACAAAAGGAGAACTGATTTTTTTGAATCATATCCCATATTCTACCCAGTTATTTGCTGCTGGAATGAATTTTCTCACAAGAATAAAGTCACTTCTATACATTTCTGTTATCCTTGTTCTGCTAATATTAAAACCTGATTGCTCTTCTGGCAGAGCAGAGATATCTTAAAGTAAGCACATGTCCACAGTCACTTTCAAATGCTAACTACTACCTTTACTGAAGAAAGAGTCAACATAAGCCTAATATATATGAAACAATTTTGGAGTTCTGCTTTGAAGTTTAAGCTCCACTGATGATGATGTGTAAAATGATACTGTTGCATTTAAAGAGAGAAGAACTGGGTTCAAATTCTTGTTCCTCTTAAACAGTGTTGGATGATTATAAATCATTCAAAGAAAAAAATAGAATAAATAATAGCACAGAATAAACTATTTCTATTTTTGTTTACAGGTAGTGCTCAATTTACCACCATTCATTTAGCAACCATTTGAAGTTAAAAAGGCACTGTAAAAAGTGACTTATAACCAGTAATTGCACTTATGACCACTGTAGTATCCTCACGTCATGGGATCAAAATTTAGGCATTTGGCAAGCAGGATGTATGTGCCATGGTTGCAGCGTATTGGGTCATATGATCATCATTTGTGTCCTTTGCAGCCGACTTCTATCAAGCAAAATCAATGGAGAAGCTGGACTTATTTAATGACTGCATGATTCACTTAACAACTGCAGTGATTCATTTAACAACCACGGCATAAAGGTCATAAAATCAGGAATAACTCACTTAGCAACCGTCACATAGCAACAGAAATTCTGGTTCCAATTGTAGCCATATGCTGAGAATTTCCTATATATAAGACAAAATTATACCAAACCCCAACCATGGTAGTAATTAGGAATAAGAACAAATTTCTCAAGTTGTTTTCATATTCTATATTTTCTTACCATTAAAGTTGTTCTTGTCTATTTTCAGATCGGCTCATGACACAATAATAGCAATAAAATTATTTAATGAAATGCTATGTTGTCCTTTTTCAGAAATGCATGAACATTTGTGTAACCTTTTCCATGAATGTTTTATTCAGAGAACTGCACTGAAACAACTAACTGCATTTCAATTTGGCTATCAGTTTTCTAATGGGAGAAAAGGATCTAACGTTCAAAACGGGAAGGTACCAATTCCCCATTATTTATTTACACCTTCCATTCACCAGGAATATATTAAGGACCCAACTGTGATAAATTCAAATGGGATCTAAGTATATCAGTAGGTTTAGCTGTGAAAGCAGTATGCTGTTAAAAATATGAAATGCTGGAAATACACAAGAAGCACTTGTCTCCATTATGTCCTGTTTCAGAATTTCACATATATGTATGATAGTCATAGCTGGGAACAGAACAACCAGAGTTTACATGTCCTCACTGTAATTTCAATTAATGCCATAAAAAAAATGGAAGGCTGTTTGAGCAGATAGTAGCATCAGGCTGATCTTGTCTGGCTTATATATTATATAGCAGTGTTTCCCAAACTTGACAATTTTAAGGCATGAGGACTTCAACTCCCAGAATTCCACAGCCAGCAACGCTGGCTTTGGAATTCTGGGAGTTGAAGTCCACATGCCTTAAAATTGTCAAGTTTGGGAAACACTGTTATATAGGGTCTGGCCTGATTAATCCTTAGATGACAGATTATCATGGCTATAGGCTGAACTGGAAATATTCTGAAAGAAAACACTGGTGAATCATGTCTGTATTGTTGCCCAAAAAAATACCCTTTGCTGAGAGCCAGTTTGGTGTAGCGGTTAAGAGGATGGCCTGGTAATCAGGAGGCAATGAATTACATTTTCGCTTAGGCATGAAAGCTGGCTGAGTGACTTTGGGACAATCATTCTCTTTCAGTTCAACCCACTTCACAGGGTTCTTGTTATGGAGAAAATAGGAGGAGGAAATAGCATTATAAAGTAATAAAGGTGGGATAAAAATCCTGCATGGATTTCATTAAGTCACAAAGAGGCAAGTTTGATTTAAAAGAAACTTTATGTTTTCTTGAATCTGGGAGACATAGGAACTGCAATTCCACTATACTGGACTATGTTGATTCAACTTCTACTTATTTTTAATACTGAACTGGCTAAAGATCAGCAAATATCTATCTGGCAACAGATAAACAGAATAAATAGTTCTCCTCTCACCTGTTTCTCCCCATATTGGCAAGTATTCATCTTGCTGAATGTCCAGCATTATCTCCAGTCCATTGCCTGTCCCACCCTTGAACGTGGTCAACAGTGGATGCCCCTCTTCTCTTGAGTTAAACATGTAGCATTTCCCATATTTCGTAAACACCTAGGGAAGAAAGGGAGAAAAATCATAGCTGAGAAACATTCTTAGGTTCTGTGAACTTAATTTCAGAAAGTCTAAGTAATATAATTTTATTTAATGCTATTTAATAGAATTTTAAAGACATATCTCTGGGTGGCTCCATCTTAAAAAAGCAGAAACAATTTAAAAAAAAGAAACATATCATATACATCTAGAAGGCAAACTTTCTATAACAAGCAAGACAGAGACTCAATTACCACCTTGCCCAAGGCCTGGGAAATCAGCCAAGTTTTCAGTGACTTTCTGAATAACACCAGAGTGGGAATCATATGGGATTCTATCAGGAGGATACTCTCACAGAATCATCTTTCAAAACTTAATTAACATTGAAACCTTTATATAAAATATCTCCTACAGTTCAAACATATGGATATACATTAACTATTAACACCAAGACCCATACCATTTGATGACACTTATTTTTAATTATAGATTCCTAATTTTAAAAAGCCAAATTAATACATGAATAAATGATGAACTTTAAAATTCTAAATAATGTAATTAATGGCATTACATATATGATCATTAAGTGATAGATAAAATGCAGATATTGTAATAGAATAGAATATTTTGCCAATAGCAATGTAGTAGATTGTGACATATTTTTACATCCATCTCACAATCCCAAACTAATCATCTAAAAGTCCTAGTAGAGACAGCTTCACAAACATCTAAATATCGCCATAGGTAATGCTGTTTCTTGTAGATACCAGCCTCATCTTGGAGGAAAAATAAGAGTATACAATACTCAACTGCTTCATACACCTATGCACTAGGAAGTCTCTTTCAACAAATTTATGCATTATAGTATCTACATCTTTATAGTTTACAGATTTTTTAAAGACAGCTTAAGGATATGGAATATAATAAATATTAAAAAAATACTATAAACTATGTAACTTAAACTCAATATTAAAAAAAAATGCTAATAAAATAGAACACAGGGCTAGAAGAGACCTCTTCTAGTCCAAATCCCTGCTCAAGGTAGGAGAACTTATACCATCCCAGTCAAATGGTTATCCAGAAGACATTACAAATAATATAATAACAAATATAATAACAAATAATAAAATCCAAAAAAATAGCTAAACAACCATTGTTTAGTTATATAGGCATACCCTTTCCTCTTCTGTCTTTTCCCATTACAGCTAATATTTGCAACTCTTATATGTAAAGCAATTTGAGCAAATTTCCTTACTTTTGCATAATATATTTGCTTTTGAATGGCCCTAGCAGGAGTGAGGAACTAGGCCTGGCATTTACACCTTATTTCTTATTTCTTCTTCCTTAGTTTCTTTTAACTTTATTAAGAAGTGCGTAATAAAGAACTTCTCCATTTGAAAATTATATAAATTCAGGGGATTTCCAACATACAAAGAAGTAAAAAGTTTATAATTTAAATGAAAAATAATGTTTTAATAAATACAATAGAAAGGACCAACAAGGAGCAGCTTAATGAACTAGTTGGAAACTGGCTCAACTTATCACTGTAATAAATTGTATTGTAAGTCATGACAGTCATAAGTCAAGGCACAAAGCCAACATAATTTTACAACTGTTTTTGTGATGATCACTACGGGAATCCATTCCTATGTGCACTTTTTGCCAGAAATCATTCAAAAAAGCTGGAAAACGGCAAAAAAAATGTAATAAATTGTGACCGTGGAATGTTGCAACCAGCCAGTTTCCAACACCTGAAATGTGGTCATGTGACCATAGGCAAGGGATGTGTGTGTGTGTGTGTGTGTGTGTGTGTGTGTGTGCATGCACGCCAGCAGAAGTCCGAAACTAAATTAGAAGTAGCTTTTCAGAGTCCATCGTAATATCAAATGGTTACCAAACAATTGGTCATTAAGTGGACTATTATAAAAATAAAAAATTATCAATAGCACGGAATGGAGGTGGGATAGATCTTGCATACTACTATTTTTTTTTAACATTGGCTGTGCTGCCAACTTTTGTCCAAAGGCAGGAACAGCAAAACAACCACCATTATATGTTACAAAAGGATTTGTGAGAGGGAATTTATGCAAGCAACATTATTTTATATAATGTTATATATATATATATGAGAAAAAAAAGAAGTATCAGTATACCTGGAGAAAATGTTGATGTTAAAAACAGATGCTACTCACAAAATTCCTCAGAACGGATTTAGCTATAGGTAGTTCTCAACTTATAACTGGTTGCTTAGGGACTATTTGAAGTTACAACAGACCCTGAAAAACCTACTTACATCCTGGATTCGAAATTCCTATGTCAAACTGCCCACTGTCATGGGTACTCAACAATCAACTAAAATTTGCACCATCCATCTCCTGCTGACTGCAATTTACATTTTTGCTGGAACCAGCATTTATTTTTGGTTTCTGGCAAAAACTACTCCATAGCAGACAATGTGTCACTTAATGCCCACTTCAAAAAAGTTCATAAAATTAAATCCAATCATGTGTTTTCCCCCTTTCTGACTATCACAACTTGTAACTGATATTATGGCTTAATTATAGTCCTAAGTTGAAAATTACCTGTTCTCACAAACCCCCATTTGTCAAAGGGTAAATTAATAAGATTACTCTGTATTACCTCTGTAGGCCTCATCACTCTGCTCTCCCATTCAAAAGCTTTCAGTTAAACTGCTTTTAGCTTTAACCAGCTATCTCTTATAAAGCACGCTGACATAACACTGCAACATAACCTTACAGATCCTACTTGTGAATATCTTTAAGTTCACTTTATTTTATGATACGGTTATTGGTGCATTCTTCTACAGCAGGGGTGTCAAACTCGCAATGTCACGTGATGTGTCGTGATATATCGCAACTTTTTCTCCATTGCTGGCAATGGGGTGGGCGCAGTTTTGGCATGACGCATCCAGCCCATGGGCTGGCAGTTTGATACATGGATTGAGTGAAAAATAAATGATCTCTTATCATTGCTTAAATTGGCATTTTCCATTGGGATTTTTACAAGTTATATTGTTTCTGGGGCCCTTGATTGAGTCCAGTCAATCATACTGCATCATTATTTTACAGAGTCTATTTAAATACTTTATCTCAGAAGCAACCTTTCCCAACTTCATAATCTCGAGATTATGAATCTGTTGGATTTCACTTCCCATAATCCAAAAACCAGCACTGTTATCTGGCCAGATGTTATGGGAAGTGAGGTCCAAGATACCTGGAAGATATCAGGTTGGGGAAAACCTGATATAATAAAAATACTGAACTCCTTTTTGTAGATCTTTCAAGATTCAATATTACATACAAATGAAAACAAAGCTGGTTAAAAACCAAGACGGGTCATTTACTGCTGGTAAGATGAGGAATTTTGTTTTTCTAATACCAAGGCAAATAGCATGATAATGGGCGTAGATGCCATCAAAATTTGAGATGTCAGGGAACATAAAACATTTGGAAAATAAAAAAAGGCAACCAAAGCAGTAGAGGTGCTAGGAGGACATTCCAAAAAAGGAAGGGGCAGAAAAACTGTAGAAGTCCACACCACTTTGACCTGAACCTTTTATCATCTGAAGATCATGGCTGTGTACAAACTTGTAAGCAATGGTGTGGGAGTGGAGTTAAAAATACTTGAGGCACAGTAATTGAGTTTGGATTTTTAAGTAGTATTGTGTTTTTAATTTGGCTTTCAACTTGTTAATCTTTCTTAGGAGAATCACAAACAACATTTAAGTTACTGGCTGCTGTTTTAAAATGAATTTTTTAAAATTTCCACATTAGACAAAATGTTTAAATTTCTCCATTAAAATCTGCCAAAATGTTGAAAATGTCAATAAAATTTGCTTTCAAGTATTTGGTGGATCAAAATTTTTAATGCAACTGAAGTGGGCAAAATCTAATTTCTATGGATTCCTATGGTGTTTCCCTGAAAATAAGATCCAGTCTTATATTCTTTTTGGACCAAAAGATCCATTATGGCTTATTTTGGGGGGATGTCTTATTTTGTGGCCACCTGCCCACTCTGTCCCACCATCTGGTTGCTCCTGGCCACCACGGGGCAGTCTTGCCGGTGCCAGCTGCGCTCTATTTAACCCTAAGCACCCAGACTGGAGCCTTGGTGGGCTTAAGGAGAGAGGTGCTGCTGGGAGCTGCCTCATACTTGCAGCTCTGAGGGGGAAACAGCAGTGGAGAAGGAACATTCCGTTCATTCCCTGCCCTGCCCTGTTGCGGCCGCCATCCCCTCCTGGAACCTCTGCCTCCTTACCAGCCCGAGGCTTCAGTCTGGATGCTCAGGGTTAAATAGTGTGCAGCAGGGTACTGGTGGGGCCATTCTGGGGGGATTCTGCTGTTGCTGTTGCTTCTGGTGGGCTGCGCCCTGCTGCCACCTCCCAAGCTCCACCTTTACCTGCTGCCCAGCCAGCTGATGTGCCGGGGTGGTTGCAAGAAGGCCAGGGCTCATTGGCTTGCCTGCTGGGTAGGACCCATCTCAGTGCCCGGACTAGGAATGGATGGTGCTTGGGGGGGGGCAGTTTTGTAGGAAAGTGAGTGCCCACCTGCCCAGGGGTGCCGGAGCCGAAGGTTGCAGGAACCAGAGTGTCATGTTGGGGAGCTGAGGGCATTCAGGGAGCCCCTTCATCTCCAGGTCTCTCCTAATGATGGGTCTGTTGGGGCATCCAGAAGGGAACTTCAAAGTGGCACAGAGGGGAGCCAGTGCTGCCGCCATGAGTTGAGGTGAGGCAGGAGCCTGCACAGCCAGCCGCCCACTCTGTCTAACCACAAGGTGAGACAAGGCAGGTGGCGGGGCGTGGGTGGCCTCGCTGCAGTGCCTAAGGTCTGTGGTTGCAGGGCTCCTGGGGCAACTCCACCCCTAGCCATCGGTCTCGTCTTACCTCATGGCAGTGGCAGAGGCACAATGCGCACCCTCCAGCCCCTCTGTTGTGGCTGTGAGCAACCAGACAGTGGGATGGAGTGGGTGGGGTCCTAACTAGGGCTTATTTTGGGGGTAAGGCTTATATTAGGCACATATGTAAAAATCAAGCTAGGTCTTATTTTTGGGATATATTTTATTTTCGGGGAAACACAGTATTAATATGACCAATTAAAACAAGTATTGGCTAGCCACTGACACTAACCACTAGTGGTTTGATTTCTCTTAGAAATGGTCATATCTTCCAATTATTTCTTAGTATCTATTCAATCTACAGAACCCCTTCTATCTCAACATCTCTGAGAACTGTTGTAAAGCTATCATAGAGACACAAGCTACAAAAATAAACTATTTTGTGACTGTAAATATGCATGAGTATTGGTCATGCTAGTTAAGGCTACAGCGTTGATCATACTGCTTAAGGCTAGTACTACATACTAGTATTTTAGTCATACTAGTTAAGGTTAGTTATGCTCCTTACATAGAGCATATGCAACTCTTGACGAATATATAAAAATCTTATCGAAGCTACTTTATGCAGAAAGAAAGTGATAATGGTGGAGCCACAGTCTTATATTAAAACTCTAAATCATTCAAAGAAGATGAAGTTGGATTAAAGTCAGGAAATGGTATTAACAAATGGAATTCACTACCATAGGAAAACTCAAAGTAAAAATAGTAAGACATTATATAAACCTATCAACGGAGTCCCAAGCATGACAGCTTGAAAGGTTTTAAATACAGAAGAAATATGTCTTTACTTATATTTAATATAAACAAATAAAGTTTGATCTTGATACCCTGTTTGAAAGCAACCCAAGGCTTCTGTCTGATTCTTGCTTGATAGTGGAAATAGAAACCTGGGGTTTCATTTAATCCAAAGAGACATGTTTTGTATAATAAACATGCAAGCAAAATTAGGGCTAAAAGGTCATACTTTTTTTACAGTGCTTTTTTTGTAAGAAAATGGTGCCAGAATTCACATCTTGTTAATCTTTTATTTACCTTTTGCACATACTCAATCACTGTACACACACCCACATACGTCAGTTGTGTAATGAAACATAACGGTCATCGCCCGCAATAAGCACTCAGCGCATGACCACATGACCAATCACAAGCCGAGCAGTGCCCCAAGCTGAGCAGCCAGATGAAATACGCATGCATCGGACTCAACACACAAGCAGCTCGCATGCACCATTTTAATGATTTTGCCACCAACCTGCTACACTCGACAGAGCGATTCAAG